TGCCGTCACCTTGAGGCCATCTTGGGCCGTCTTGGTGGCCTCCTTGCCCGTCTGACGCCGTCGGAAGCCGTCTTGGGGGCCTCTCTGGGCCGACTTGGAGCCCTCTTGGGGTGCTCCAGGGCCGTCTTGAAGGCGATCGTGGGCGTCTTGGATGTCTCTTGGGCCGTCTTGGGGCTCCTTGGAGGCCGTCTTGGGGGCCTCTTGAGTTTTTTCTAGGGTCATCTTGGAGGCCTCTTGGGCGATCTTGGGGCGATTATCGGGGGCTCTTGGGCCGTCGGGAGGCCTTCTTGGAGGCTTCATTGGGGGCCACTTGAGTTGTTTGCCGTCATTTAGAGGCCATCTTGGGCCGTCTTGGTGGCCTCTTGGCCCGTCTGACGCCGTCGGAAGCCGTCTTGGGGGCCTCTCTAGGCCGACTTGGGGCCCTCTTGGTTTGCCCCAGGCCAGTTTGGGAGCCTTTCGTGGGCGCCTTGAAAGCCTCTTGGACCCGCTTGGGGCCCTCTTGGGGCCGTCTTGGGGGCCTCGTGGGCCTTTCTGGGGCCATCTTGAAGGCCTCCTGAGCGATCTTGGGGCGATCATCGGGGGCTCTTGGGCCGTCTCGGGCCGTCCTGGAGCCGAAAAGAAGCAACTGTCAACATCCCTCACAAACCGATTTGGCCTCTTCGGACCTTCCTGGAGGCCCTCTTGGAGGCCTCTTGGGCCGTCTTGGAGGCCTCTTGCGCTGTGTGCCGGCTCTCGAGGCCATGCTTGGCCGTCTTGGAGGCGTATTGGGCAAACTTGGAGGCATCTTGGACGCTCTTGGGCCCTCGCTGAGGTCTTCTTGGGTTATCTTGGGCGAAATTGAAGGCCATCTTGGCCGTCTTGGAGGCCCTCTTGGGCCATCTTGGAGCCATGTGGAGCGGGAAAACCGTTTGCAGCCACCTTTGGGCAAGCCTTCCAGGTGGTTAGCGCGCTGTGCCGAAGCCCCAGGGGGAGTTCTTATGGAAGAACCAAAACCAAATCGAGCATAGAATTCAGCATGCCAGGCACCCCTCGGGCAAGCCAGTAGGGGGCGTCGGATTTCATGGCCTCAGGCCGTACCGGCGTTGTGGATCATAGACCTCTGGGATGGTTGTTGGAATGCCGCGGGAGGCCTCTCGGGAGCCTCTTGCGGGCCTCTTCGGGCCTCCTCGGAGCCTCGTGGGGCGGAAGACTCGGATTTCCGGTTCGTGTCCCCCCTCTTGGGCCTTTCGTAGGGCTGTCTTTGGGCGCTCTTGGGCCGTCTTTGGGCCCTCCTGGGGGCCTCTGGGTCCTCCTTGGGATGGTGTGTGGCGCCTCTTGGGCCGTCTTAGACTGTTGGAAGCTCGAAAAAGTCAAGGACCCCAGGAACATGCTGAAATGCCTAAGATAATTCATCACGCTTCGCGTATCCCCACCAGCCCGTCCAGAAACGACGCCCAGGCGAGTAGAGGGTCGTCCTGATGGGCTTTTCGGCGTCTTGGGTGCCTCGGGGGGGCCTCTTTGGGCCGTTTGGGATCCTCTTGGGGGCCTCCTGGGGGCCTCTTGGGGCCATCTTGGGGCCTCTTGGTGCCTCCTGGGCGCTTCTTGGGGCCATCTTGGAGGAAATCGATCCAAGAAGAGGGGAGCTTTAATTAGCGCTGCCCCCTCAGAAGGCCAAAATGGGGCCAAAACCTTAGTAAAATCAATGATTTTGGCTTGAAAGAAGATGGGAGCTTTAATGAGCGCTGCCCCCTCAGAAGGCCAAAATGGGGCCAAAACCTTAGTAAAATCAATGAGTTTGGCTTCAAAGAAGAGGGGAGCATTTTTCTGCCTCCCCCCGTCGGGGCCACGATCCTCGTGAGGGGTGTCGAATTTTAGCCCTCCCAGGAGTCGAAAAAAAAACCTCCAACCACCCGCGGGGCGCCCTCTCCAGGCCCAGGGGGAGGGGGTAGGGGGAGGGGTAAACCCTTCCCCGAAGGGGAAGAAGGGGGTTGAGAACAGAGCGGGCTCTCTAAACCACTCACGCCCAAAGGGCTGGTGGGATTAGTGATTCTGGCCTCGGGGCCCTCTTGGGAAGGCTCTTAGGGTTCGCTTGCGGCGCATCGAAGGTTTCTTGGGTCGTCTTGTGGCCATCTTGGGCGTCTTGGATTGATCGTGCGGCGCTTCGGGGCCCTCTTGGACCGTCTGGGCGGCCTCCTGGTGCCAGCTTCTCCCGTCTTGGGGACTTCTTGGGCCCGAAAGGGTCCTACGACAAGCCGCGACGGAGCCCAGAGGGTCCGCTGGGAGCCGCGGGGGACACGCTGCAAGCACCAAGATTTGAGAGCCCGGGGTATAGGCCCCGGAAGGAATCTTCGGGATTGAGGGCTCGAGGGTCTGATGTGTGCGAGGGGGGTCCAAGCACGTTTGTGCGTATCGGAGCCTGCCGTGCCGGTTGCGTGGCACGAGTCCGCCTTACAATTGGCTCAGCTGCACTGGATTCGACCTACAATGGCTGAGGCTCAGAGGTTGATCAGGGGACCTGGAGCACACGGACTTCGTGCCACAGTGGCGCATTGACGGACGAAGGGGGTTTCCGTGGGTCATGCCTATAAGGTTGCCAGCGTCCTGGCCTTGCCAGTCTTCGGGATAAGGTTTGGGCCCGAGGCCAGTTGGAGGAGGGCGGAGGGAGGAGCGGGCCGATCGAGGGAGGGAGGGGGGCGGAGCCCTGGAGCCTCTGCCCTCCCTCTGCTCCTCCTCCTCCTCCTCCTCCTCCAGCCCCTTTCTGTGTCGAGCCGCCTTCCTGTGGGCCCACTGAAGCGGTCCCCGCGGACGGCTGATCAGCCGACACTTGGAGATCGAGCGGGGCCCATGCGCTGATGGACCTCGTCGTCGGACCTTGAGCAGGTCCCATGCGGTGCAAATTCTTCGGTTTCAACGTTTGTTCACTGGTGCAGCCGAGGCGCCTTGAGGAGATCGCCACGTTCGGGAAGCACTACCCTGTTCATGCGCTGGTCGGTACTCGATTGCGAGCTCAGCCTGATGTTGCGGTTCGTCGCCAGACCGCTGGGGACCACGAGTATCTTCACTTTGGGTACGGCCGCGGCCCCTTCACCAACCGCTCTGCTGGCGTGAGCATTGGGCTACGGCGACGTGACCTTGCCACTCGTGTCCATCGGGTCGTCCCTGGGCCACCTGCTGCACTTGGACGCGCGGGCCTCGCTCGCGTCACTTCAGGCTCGGTGGACCTCACGATTGTGGCTCTGTATTTTCCGCCGCCTGGCCCACGTGGCACTCAGGCGTCCTGGCGGCGCACCGTGGACGTGCTTATGGAATGGCTGAGTGCGCAGCTGGACGCCACGCCCGAGAGGTCGACCCCGCTGATCTTCGCTGATTTGAACGACTCGTTCGCGGTGGACGACACCACTGACAGCTACCAGTGCATCGGCCCGTTCGTGCAGGACCGCATGGGCTACGCGTCGCGCAGCTTGCGCGAGCTGGTGCACCGTCACTTCTTGGGCTGTGCCACCACCTTTCATAGGATCTCGCCGACCTTCTACGGCGAGAAGAGTGCCACGTACATCGACCACTTTGTTGTACCGACTGGCCTTCTGCCTCGTATCAGTAAGTTGCTGACTATGACGAAGGCAGCCCGTGTTTTGCAGCTTTTCCCCAGTCAGGGCACCTTGCGCGATCACGCGCCCCTCCTGCTGGAGGCTGATGTTGGGGTGCCCAGCTTGCAGAACGGCACGGCTGCCATGGCGTGGAACTTTGATGCGATTGAGACGGCATTGCAGACTCCTGGACTTCGTGAGGATTTCTTGAAAGAGCTGAACGATGCCATGCGAGTTCAAGCACCTTCGTACCTTGGCTACTTCGAATCCAAT